ATTGAAGTTGTCTGGGTGCAATGTCCCATGTCTCTTAACCCTACAGTGGTAATTATTGCAGGGCCGCCATCATAAATTGTGGGGCCCCTAACACAGCTCAAGGTCGGGCCCTCGGGTGCCCGCCTCCAAGCCCTGTCTCCAAACCCCGCCCACAGGAATACACAGACACCAAAGGACACAGACACACACACATACTAACAGAGAAAAATACTGAAACAGACATACACACATATAGACACATACACAGATACAGATACACACACACACATACTGATATACAGACACACACATTGATGTACATACATACTCACATACTGACACACACATACAGACATACATACATACATACTGACAAACAGACATACATACAAACTGACATACAGACATACATACATACACATAAATACATACTGACATGCATAATGGCATACATAGACATACATACTGATATACATGCATACAGACATACACACACACATACACAAACACACACAGATCAATATATACATAAACAGATACATACAGACATACTGGCATACACACACACACAGAGACATACATGCATACTGACATACATACTGATAGATATATACATACATACACACATACATACTGACATACACACACACAGACACACACACACACACAGACATACATACATATACATTCTGACATACACACACATACAGATAGAAACATACACACATACATACTGACACACACAGACATACATGCATACTGACATACATACATACACACATACATACTGACACACACAGACATAAATACTTACTGACATACACACACAGACATACATACTGACATACATGCATACTGACATACACACACACATACATACATACTTGCAGACATACACAGACATACATACATACTAACAAACAGACATACATACATATATACATACTGACATACACATACATACAGACATACATACACACAGACATGCATGCATACTGACATACATACACACATACATACTGACACACACACACAGACATACATACATACTGACAAACAGACATACATACAAACTTATATACATACTGACATACACACACACACAGACATACATACATACACATACATATACACACACACTCACACTTCATTTATCAGCCACCCTCCTCTTACCTTAAGTTGCAGGAGGGTGGCTGGGGATGATGGGAGTGGATGCCTCTGGTATCCTCTGCTCTATCTCTCCTCCGCTCTCCCTCTCCCCCCGCGTGGAGTAAGCTGGGAAGAAGTGACCGGCTGTCACTTCCTCCCAGCAGCCCCTGAAGATATAGGGCCCATCGGGTGGCCCTAAATGCTTGGGCCATCTGATGGGCCCCCGGTGCAGATGCACCTGCGGCAGTTTCGCCGCTCCACATGGCCACCCCATGATGGCGGCCCTGTCTGAGGGTTAACTCCTCCTGGCAGCTGTCTAGGAGACAACCACTAGAGGGACTTCCGGAATCAAAACGGACCTTTGGTCTCTTATCTGACGCTGGGCAACCTCACGCTCTGCATAAGGACTTACAGTGTCAGATTTTTCCCATAGGAAAGCATTGAATAATGCTTTCCTATGGGGAAATCCTAATGAGAGCAAGGCCACTGCTGCGCATGCACATTAGGTCTCCCCCGCCGGCTGACGGCAGCAGAGGCGCATGGGCGGAGCCTGACCCAGCGTCGAGGGACATCTGTGCTGGATTCAGGTAAGTGACTGAAGGGTTTTAACCCCTTCAGCCCAGCGAAAAGGAGCGTGAGGGAGGGGGGCACTGCAGGAGTCTATAGTGCCAGTAAAACAGGTTCTTTATCAGATGCAAAGTACTAAATGTTATATGCTTTCTATTGGTTGTCATTCTGATTGCATCTTATTTATCAAATGGTAACATCAATGTCTGTGATATTTTACTTAATTCAAATTATAGATTTAGAGAACTATGTAGCTCAATGTCAGAGGCGTAACTAGAAACCACAGGGACCCGGTGTGAAAACTGCCCTGGGCCCCCCATACATTTACCCCCCTGCCACACCCTCCCCCATATGTCTACCGGCCCTCTCCCATACGTTCCCCCCTCCCCCCACATATGCAAACAGATACACATGCAGACACACACAGACACACGCACACATACAGACACACATACATTCAAACACACGCACACATACACACACACAGACACATACATATAAACACACATACATACATACAGACACAGACAACATACACACACACATACATACAGACACACATACCCACACATACACACACACATACATACAGACACATACATACCCACACATACAGGCACACAGACCGACAGACAGACAGACACACACATACATACAGACACACATACACAGACAGACACACATACATACAGAAACACAAACTGATATACACACGCACGCACGCACACACATACAGACACACAGACAGACATACATACATACAGACAGACACACAGACAGACATACACACACATATACAGAGAAATATTCATACAGACACACATACCTTTCCCTGGGGTACAGTGGCTCAGCCTGATGGGGGTCAGATTTTCCACTCTGACTCTCTCCTCTCCTTCCTCCACCATGGCTCCCGTTGGTTGCTGGGAGGAAGTGACCGGGGCAGTCACTTCCTCCCAGCGTCTGACAATACATAGCATCCAGTGGCCCTAACAACATGGGCCACTCGATGGGCCCCTGAACACGTGGCACCGGCGGTTATCATTGTGCGGCCGGGGCTGTGTTACTTAGCCAGCGGGACCCGCGATCGCTCCCTGGAGTGACTGACCCGGTCGCAGCTGCGACCCCTGTAACCGCAGTAGTTCCGCCACTGCTCAATGTAATGATTTCTAATAACAAATGGAATGAAAACAGAAGATGAAGTTATAGATTTAGAGAACTATGTAGCTCATTGTAATGATTTCTAATAACAAATGGAATGAAAACGGAAGATGAAACATAGGTAGTATGAAAACCAAATCAAATTTGAGCATCAAATAGCTGGTTTGGATAAATGATCCAGCTCAGATATAGTTACATCTTTGATAATTTAGCCTCAGATTTGCCTTTCGGATTTAGTATGCCATGTTTGCCATGGGTGAAACTCTGAATCTAGAGTAAATCTGTGATAGGAGATGTTGCTGTAACCCAAGACTTCTGATTGCAATTGCCAGCCTCATGGGCGTCCGCAGGAATTTTTCCAGGGGGGGGCATAATTGTAATGACATCCATGCTTGGTACCTTTTTGACAGTGTCATGAAAGGGAAGGGGCATAGCCATTATCACATAAAGCCAGGGTGAATAGCGTTTTCACAACTATGGTGTCAGGAATATAGGTTTGTATTCCTGTCACTATAGTGTTCTTTTAAGCAAATTAAAGGACATTTCTGGTCACCATAACAACTTCACCTAAATGAAAATGCTATGATGCCAGGAAGCCCCTGGGTGCTTGCTTTCCTTTAAGGGGTTAAATCGCTCTCAAATGGTTTAACCCCAAAGGCTTCCTCCAGCTCCAGGTCGCTCAGTGGTATTTGGCTTCTGAAACAGAGTGTCAGGAAGTGCAGATTGACGTCAGGCATGGGTGCCGCTGATTGGCTAGAGTGGTCAGTTGATGCTCTAAGCCAATCGCTAGTCCTGGTTCATAAAATATTTTTACTTTTTTATGAATGGGGAGCTACTGATTGGTTTAGAGTGCCAGCTGACCGCTCTAGCCAATCAGCAACACCCCTACCCAATGGCACTCTGTGCTTCCTGACACTCAGTAAATAAAAGTGAACACATTAACACCGATATTTTTTTACCTTGAAGATGAGTAGGTCCAGCGTTTCCCTGCCAGGCCCAAGTACCAAAGCCTTATGATGTGGTGTCCAGAATAAAGTGGAGGGTTCACTTCATTTGTCCTTCCTGCTCCAATCTCCTTTTCCTCTCCTTCATTTGACAGTCTTTTTTTTTCTTCTGACACTGTTTTCTATCCTTGGCCCCTTCTGCTCTTTTACCTATCTGCTTATTTTGCGCCCTTCTGCTCCTTTCTCATTCTGATCCCTTTCTGCTCCTTGCAGACCCTTTCTGCTCCCTTTTCTACTTTACCTTTGTGCTCCTTGCTATCCCTTTGTGCTTCTTCCTACTCCTTGCAGGCCCTTCCTGCTCATTCTCCTACTTTATGTTTGTGCTCCTTCTGCCCCTTCCTGCTCCTTCCTGCTCCTTGCAGGCCCTTCCTGCTCATTCTCCTACTTTATGTTTGTGCTCCTTCTGCCCCTTCCAGCTCATTTCTGACCCTTTCTGCTCCTTCTACTTTACCTTTGTGCTGCTTTACCTTTACCTTGCTGACCCTTCCTGTTCATTTCTATATATCTATAGGCTGCTGCCCCCCCAAATCTATAGGCTGCTGCCCCCCCAAAATCTATGGGCTGCTGCCCCCTCCCCAAATCTATGGGCTGCTGCCCCCAAATCTAAAGGCTGCTACCCCCCCCAAATCTATGGGCTGCTGCCCCCCTCCCCCAAATCTATGGGCTGCTGCCC